TGGTGCCTAGCAGTGGACAAACCCGGATGGACAACGCTACAACAACGTCCTTCGTGGAGGCTTTAAGGTTTCCTAGGATTAGTATGTAGGATTCAAGGGTTCCATATTTGGCCTTTCCCACATCTCCATGTGGAACAGACAATAATTCTTTATTTAGGATAATGTTTGTGGTCATTACTTTTGCTATGTCGTGTGCTTTAGCTCACAGTGACAGAACTTGCATGCACTTGGATGAAGAAGTCTAGCGGAAGTACAGCTCCCAGGTATCTCCCTCACTCAGCCTGTCACCTTGATCGTCACACCAATATCTCCACGGCGGACTTAACGCGAATGCTTTCCTTTATTAACCCACACTGACACATTACGGTAAATCCTCATTCTCCCTTGGTCGTTAAAATATCCCNTTTGTTTGTTTGTTTGTTGTTTTTTTTAATAATAATCGTAACTTTTCTCGTTAAATGGTTGTTTTGATTACGCCGGAGTTGTTTTGTTGACGGCCATTTCGCTAATGTTTCACATGGGTGTGATCGGGTTCATGGCGAGATATATGGTGCAACACATTGAGATAATGCGATCAATAGATTTAGAACAATTTCAGCAATATTCCCTTCAGAATGTATATCCCACGGAGACATCACGTTGTTTTAATAACGACACGTCGTATAAGTATAATGGAATTATACGGGGTGGATACGGATAGGTAAATGAATATAACAAAGAAAACCGTGTAATCCTCAATAATTTTACTGTGGTAGTGGCTAACTCGAAAACCTTTGCTCCTTTGGCCACTTCACACTTTTCTCTTATTTGAAGTAATTTTCTATTTCTTTTATTCTGATGTTTTGGTTAATTAAGTAAAATTTATTAAACTAAAATAAGTGTAAATAAATTGATGTCAATTGAATTGGAGTTTCTATAACCGAGTCTGGTTATCATATCAGAGTTTCCCTTTGAAAATATGCGTAAATTATTTAAAACAGAAGAAACTAAAAAAGAAAAAAAGAGAGATTCGTAATCTCCTGACATATTGTAAATATATTCACGTTGGGTCAAACACTATGACAGTTTTCCCTGCAACAGCTATTTAGCGGCATGGTGGTACATTGAGAGAATTTATCAAAAACCAAGTTAATGGTGGCTACCCGTTGAGACTTGATTTCTCTTATGGTTCAAACAGCTTCAAACAGAACACCCCTGGGATTTTTTGCTATTTTCGTTCGCTTAGAAAATTAAACCTTCCATTGAATTTTATTGAAGCGATGTTAAACTGTGGATTAGCCGTTATTGTAAGGCTAATTACTTTTGTGAAACCAAGCGTGGTAGTAAAACTTTTATGTTACCGCTTAGCAACGAATCGAGTATCTTCGGAATAGAGCGTCCACTAATCATCAGCTTTGAATAGGAAGTTGGTCCTCCGATATTCATGCCAGCTGTGTCCAAACTACGTAAACGTCGAGGACTCAACAAGAAGAAAATGTATATAAGATAGGTAAGGTTCCAAAGCTTTTTTAAACGCTGATAGGTTTCATCGTGTAATTAAGAGATTAAACCGAAAAACACAAGAGTGAAATAGATAATCCAAGACGGGTAATCACGTACTTTGTCTGGGTTTAGTTAGCTCAGCGGCTGGGATAGTCTGCGTATTTCACGGCATCCAACGGTTTAAATACCGTAGAAACGTGAAAGGAAGTTTCTTAAAGTTAGTTGACTATGTGGCGCGAATTAATTAGAGTAAACAATCTCATTCGTTTGATTGTTTGGAATTAGTTGAGAACGAATTCGAGCTGAAGAACAACTCTTATAAGATACTTGCCAATAGTACTTAGTGAATCTGCCTTTTCTAGCTGATCCCATACCTTGTTAGTGCTTTTTAACACGACTAACTGCTGCACGAATATATATATATTAGCAATTAAAGAAAATTAATTACGTCTTTAAAGTATTTCAAGTTGGCGACATCAACTTATTTTACAAACGGGAAAACTTGACATGTACATTGTGTGTTCACCTGAGCCAAGCCTAGGCATGAAAACAAGCCGTTTTAGACCGGTCCTACCCAGCACTGCCCAGAGGTAGTGGGAACTATCGACTGACTTTACTATGGCACAAATATTTTCCATTGTCAAGCTCTCTTTTTTATGGTCCGAGATTCGGTACGAAAAAAGGCCAAGGGCCCGGTAATATTCCTTAGTACGGTCCCGAGCATGCTTGATATATGACTGACACCAGCCAAAAACTTCAATCGCGCAATTCTGACGTGACGTTTTCAAAAAACAAGAAGGAGAATAAACTTAAAGGAAAAAGACAAAGAACCAATCAAGTGTAAGTTAAATCTTTTAGTAAAGCACTGTAAGTAACAAAGCGCTGAGAATTCGTTTAACAGAGGTAGCGCACTCCCTGTCGAATACTTGGAAAATATTAGGCCGGCAATAGAGAAATCTGAGTGGTAGATTTTAGCTATTTTCCCTCTGAACTAACTTAATTGTGTAATAATAACTTATATCAGCAACAATCTCGACAGCGAAGCACAATTTTCTTCAACCCTTACCACCCACCTTAGGTGGGAGACCTATAGAATATTTGCTTTGTTTTACTGATATAGTGTTTTCTCATGTCATGTCTTTTACTTTTATTCGCCTGACAATAGCACCGACATTTATGACGTGGGCTGCAATTTTCCCAAAATGAAATCAGAGAAGCATAACTCAAAGAAATACCTCCCTGGAATAACGACGAGGAAACCTCAACTTCGAAGCAACAGCTGGGCAAAACTGCTCAGTCAGAACAGATCAAGAAAAGCTGGCGAACATGACAGGGAAGTCTCTGGACTGGACGTGAGTTGTACAGCTGTTCTGTTCAATACAAAAGTTGCAAGGAAAACATGTCAAAACCCATTTGAAAACTTGGCAAACTACATCAATGAGCGAGACAAAGAAACAATAAACACGGTGGACGAAATGCCACAGACTGAAGAGGACGAAATAAGCGAGAGGTCGTTTGATAATGATGGAGAGGATAGCAGCGACACTGCCTCGCGTTCCCTTGATGATGCACTGACAAAGGTTTCAAGAGCCAAGCTCGACAATGAAAGAATTGAACTCGATCATCTGCCTCCCTTGGCCCATACTGCAACAGCCAAACCTGGAAAAGTACCAAAAGAGACATGTCACACTCGTGTAGATTCCAAAGGTCGTAACGATTCTCCTCAGCCAAGCAACACTGCCAGGGATATTGATTGGCAGAACATTTTCGTCAACGGAGGATTTCGACCGCACGAATCACGTGATTTGCCAACAAGAGGCGAGTTAATCTTACTGAAATACAAAACATGGGATCCTGACGATCCTGTTTACTGTGTCAGAAAGTGCGCCAAGTATTTCGGTCTTGACAGCCCGGAAATAGAGAAAGGACACTTAACTCCAACAGGAAAGGAGCCACGAAAACGTTACACCAGTCCGCTCTCTCCCAACTTTAAGTTTTATTCAAGTCGTCCCAAAGCCTTTGCACCTTTGGGGAGCTCTCCGGTGTCACTAACGTATCTTGCGAGTCCAGCTAAACGATCTAATTTATGCAATTCCTGTGTTGTCCCTCCGGTAACGCCTGCGTCATCCATGGCCAGATCTTCACCTTTTGGTTTGAGTCCGCTGCCTTGTAAGGACAGAAGAAAAAACACCCTGGGAGAGCTGACCGAGATGTCAAGTGATGGACGGAACACCGACGAGGGTATTACGTCACCCACTGAGAGTGAACTGGAATTGTGAACTGCTATTCACTTTATTGCGTCAAACTATATGATGACTTTTCTATACAATGCATTTATTTAGATACAAATATTCCACACACAAACTGATTACAAACGCTTACATCTTGCTTCCTTTTGCCTATAATATTCCTCTTACATTTACGTTGTTTCATACTTAATAATTTGCATTTCACTATATTATTTCACAATCAGTATTTCAGTATAATTAATTAAGTTATACTTCACTTATATTCGGTACATATATGTATATATGTGTTATTCCTCCATCATATCAAATCACATGAGCATCTACATCATTTATTCATATATTTTTGTTACATTTCTTTTTTTTTTTAAATTACATTTTTTACAATTGTACATTAATACCCTAACCTTACACTACTTAAAGTTTGCATGGACTATAGACCCTATTCAAAAATGGCTGCCAATTTAAAATTCCTTTGTATGCATTTAATTTAAAAATCAGCCCAACTAACCTCGTTTGAGAGTAAAAATTCTTTCGAATTATCAACTCAAAAACGAGGTTTGATACTGACAAAAGAACTTTTAATTGGCAGCCATTTATGAATAGGGTCTATGGACATGGACGCAATTTACAGCTGATACTCACACGGTAGTCTCGACAAAAGAAGGAATAAATTTTAAGTTTATTTACTCAACTCGGTGTACTCCGTGTGTTTTTCACAACGATTTACTTTAGACACTGCTCAACTTTCGAGGCAGTTATAGCATTTTTAAATATAAGAAACCCCGAAGTGGCGTCTTCTGCAAAACCATATCTTGGTCATCAGAGCAGTTAACGGACAGCTTCTTCTTCCTCTAAGTTTGCATTAAGGCTTAGTACTAGATTTGAGGAAAGGTTATGTATTGATACGATTTTTAACTTAAAAGTAGTTTCTCAATTCAAAGTTCTGCCTGAAAAATGAGACCTTAAGTGTCGTAAGAATGAGAGAACGCATGTGATTGAAAACTCTCACGACGAAAATTACACTAAAGGTTGAAAAAATTATTTTAAGAGTCGAATAGTGAGGCTACTATAGGCGTTTTGAATACTTTCTTCGGTGTAGGAAATAAGGTCGAAGAAAATGCCAAGCCCAAACATCTGTGATAATGTCGTTATTTGACTTTTAAGAACTTACACTAAGTCCTTCGGCTTATTTAAAGAGAAACCAGACAAGGCAAGACAAGTTTGAAAACATGCACTTCGTGGCACAAGGTCTGTGGCCTGTTTAGGGTGCTGACATCACACATAAAGGGATTCTTTCCTGGACTGTAGTGAGCAAAGAAATGAACTCCTTGGCTTTTAGCCTTGCCCAACTCGACTTGACTCCTCTCCACTCCTTTTTGAGTCAGTCTCTACAGCAGTTCCAAGTTTTCGTTCAATTGTGGTCAAAATTAGGCAAGATGGCAACAGCTCACTTTCCTCCTTCTAGGTTTTTAAAAGAGTTTTCTCTCTGAGGATAGAGTCCTCTTGGATCACACTGAAAGGAAACACTGTGCAGCGGGTTGTTCTCCCTTGAAATCCAGTTATTGCACGATGGTGTTTTCTACCACTATGCAACAACGGGGTGAGATTCTTTTCGTACTCGTTTATAGCCTCGTCAACTATGGATCATAATTTCTTGATCCAACCGATCATGAAAACCATTTTTCATTTTCATCTTCATTCAGATTTCAAGTGCGTGATGGGTTCTTTCACACACTGTACACCACACTGACTGTTTAAGGTATCATGGTTGGCCAGGTACAATACGATCCATGTTCTCAGCTTCCCTGGTGCCTAGCAGTGGACAAACCCGGATGGACAACGCTACAACAACGTCCTTCGTGGAGGCTTTAAGGTTTCCTAGGATTAGTATGTAGGATTCAAGGGTTCCATATTTGGCCTTTCCCACATCTCCATGTGGAACAGACAATAATTCTTTATTTAGGATAATGTTTGTGGTCATTACTTTTGCTATGTCGTGTGCTTTAGCTCACAGTGACAGAACTTGCATGCACTTGGATGAAGAAGTCTAGCGGAAGTACAGCTCCCAGGTATCTCCCTCACTCAGCCTGTCACCTTGATCGTCACACCAATATCTCCACGGCGGACTTAACGCGAATGCTTTCCTTTATTAACCCACACTGACACATTACGGTAAATCCTCATTCTCCCTTGGTCGTTAAAATATCCCCACTGATTTATTTGTGCATCCGTACCGTTGTAGCCCCACTTTTGGCAGTTTTGCGAGAGGGTCGAGTTGTCATCCGGGAGCCTGGCAAATGACCCACAAGCCTCTGCAGGCTGTCGTTTATGTTTGAGAAAATAATTAAGAACTTTGTGGCCGGCGAAGTTGTTCTTCGTCATCACGTGGAAAACGTTTCCCTGCGTTGTCTTGAAGTAATACCAGCGGAGCTGATTGAAGTTGATTGTTTGTCGTAGCGTCCTGATCGCAGGTGTTGTTACGAACAGGAAATTCTCCAGAAAAAAAATGTTTCCTGTAAATATGAAATTTACAATTTCAGGTCAGTTTCTTTAGTCTTTGACGCACATATTGCCCAGATTATCCTCAAGCTAAATAATAAAAGATGAGTAACGTAACAAAAGCTAAGTTCAGGGTGGGATCAGCGTGGTTCACATCCCCTTTCAGGATAACACATTTTATTTTTAGTTTGTTTTACCTCAACGTACACCCACTTACTTTCATCTGTTGTCATGTCACAGTACACCGAGAATCGTTTGGAAGCTATTGGTTCAATCCAGTATCGCCCATCCGTCAGCCGGTGATTTACTCTCTCCCCGATGTCCTTGCAAGAAATTCCCGGATTGGCAAAACTACCCAGTGGAGCTAAATATAAAATTTCAAACAAAAAAATATTATCCCAAAACTCGATGCTATTTTTCTTTTTCTTTTTCAAAATTTCTCTGAAATAGCATTCAAATGATCTCTAAATCTGTTACAGATAAAGTTTTTTTCGGTCATTTTGTTAACATGCTAAAATTCGAAAAGGTAGCTAGGTATCCGAGACATCCAAAGTTTTTTGTTGAAGGGTAAAAATTAACCTGCCTTTTTCGTGGCAGTGTTCTCCTTCGTAACCCACAGGGCAATCACAGGTGTAAAGCTGACCGCTTTGGACACATGTACCACCATTTCTGCATGGAAAAAGGGAACACAGATTCTGTTGATCGGATCAGACATTAGTAAATTCATGACTCACACAATCAGAGCCATACAATTTTGGCCTAAGACGCCACCTTTCGGTGCTAACATGTTTAATCTCGAGAACGTCTCAAGCGGGATAACTCCGAATCTTAGATCTTGCTCATGTTCGTTCAATATCAATGTAACACTGTATGGGAACGTATGCTTATGTAAGGACTTGCGTAGTTCGCATTAAGCGGCCAGAGGCGTCGCTTGATTTGGCCAGAGAATGAGTTTTCTTCCACCCAGCAAACAAAGTAGCGACCACCTTGTTTCTAAATTTTACTTTCATTCTAAGGTTTCTAGACCAAACAAAAGAACACAAGCAATAAAAAAAAAAAAACAAAGATCAGTTTTGCAGAATCAAATTGAATATGAGTAACAGCATTGTATAGAAAAACTTAAATTAATGATAATTTCGCAACGTCTACAAACTGGCTCGACTACAACAAGGCAAAATCGAGAATGAAAGGTGCACCTTTTTCCAAAAACGAATACTTAGCTTGTTTTCAGGTTTCAGAACAGATATTGCTTAAGGAACGTATTAAAGGGGCGTCCTTTGACACATGGCCAAACAAAAGAATTAGTTATATTGGTGCCAATGCTTAATTGAAGGTGTTCCGGCACTTCACAAGAGGTGTAAGGTACAAATATTCATATTCATATTATCTATCAGCGAGATCAATTGGTAGAACGTCAATGTGGATTGCCATGATTGAAACAGCTACAAAGAAACAGGCAAAAACAGTGCAAAAGAGAAAGATAAGTCTAAATTCCAGGAAAAGGTAGCGTCACTATATTTTTGCGTCAAAGAGGTCAAAACCACATGGGTAGTATTCAATTAACAATAAAAATATGCCCCTGGCATTACTAGTTATTGTCTAGAAACCAATAGGCAAAATAGTAAACATTGCAAAACATATTCAGTTATATCCAGTTCCAGTTAATACTAAATTTCAGCTTATACTGTTCAGTTTTGAAGTCACACCCAAATTAACTTTAAACTCCATTTAGCGTTTTTTTTTTTTGTAGTAGGTACAATTCCATGTAACACCTCTATTGTAGAAATTCACTGCAATAAATTAACTTATTAATAAGGTTTTATCTCTTAAAAGTTCATTCTTCGATGGTTTAAAGAGTTTCCTTGTAAAGGTGTTTTTGATTCACGAAATTTCTATTTGGTTAAAGCTAAACCAATAACCAAAAGCCTACTTTTATAGGGAAGATCATTTGGTTTGAAGATCGCTGTTAACTCATTTTCCAGCTTAAACTAGATGAAAGCACGTCTGGGCTAAAACCGCTGGGATACCGCCAAAAAGATCCAACAAGGGTGGTTAAATTCACTGTTTAATTCACTGTTTGTGCCTCTCCGCGGTCAGGAATTAGAAAGCAAACTAAAAACAATGGATAATACTGGACAGTTTATGAAACCGAACCGAGATGATAACCGGCTCACAATAAGAATACACATATTCTTCCACAGCTGATGTGAACCTGAACTTTATTCCACTATCCGCCAGGCTAGTGTTAACTGAAAACGGAGTCACACTAAAAATTGTAAAGATACTCACAAAAATGCTCCAGTGATGAAAATTGTTGCTTTCTTCAAGCTGCTGCTTGGCAGTAATCGTTGTTGCAGACAGAATCTCGCAGAGAAAATTTCCTCCTCCTTTATTTGGTTTCTCAGCAATGTTAAAAGACAAGCAGGTTTGGTGTTGTGTACACCGTAGAGCACATTCCGTTGAAAAAGCGACCAGAAACGAATTGATTCCTTTAACATTGAGAACATAATTTCTACGCTGGACGAAGTAAAACGCAGCGAAGTTGTGTCGCAAATTAGTGATGTTTTCAGCGTCTGTTGGCAAAGCGAATCCCCTGAATATTATGTAAAAGTATAAAAATTTCATACCAACGAAAACTGGCTCAATATTCATAATTCTGAGACTTTTTTCCTCAGTTGTCCTCAGTTAAAACTTGTCCACTTAAAGACTATGAAATGAGTGGAGACTGATTGTCAGATAAAACAGTTTTAGTAATTAATTAGAAAGGTTCGTATTCTATAGTTTCTTTTTTCGCACAAAGTGTTAGCTGTAAATTTCCTGTTGATAACCAGTAAATAAGCAAACAACGGCTGTTTTATGCTTAAGATGTTAGAACGTTATCTGGACAGTAATTAATATCTCTGACCTTAAAATCGTTTGGTACAACAATGGGACGTATTAAGTAAACGGCAAAACAATTTAAAAAAACATCAAAAATACTGGGTTCAAGATATTGGACACGATTTTCAATTATTTTTTTCGTGAACATAATTTACTCAGTTCTACTTTGCTTTAAGAAGAGTCAACAAGACAACGTCACGTTTATTTAGTAAGTATTTATTGTAAATTTTACGTTCTTATTTTTTTGTCTACTTAATTTCTATGTATGTAATTATTAGTACGAAGATATGCGCTAACTTAGCGCAGACTGAAATCGCCTTTCTCTTTTTTGTTCTGCTAAACCGTCAGGCTTAGAATCATGTTTAGCAAAAGAAAAGAAATATTTGGTCATAGACAGCAATGATCTGTTAACGACTGTCTCATTTGTTTTTTTTTTCAGTGTTGAATGGAACAACACCGTTTTCATTGCGAAAGCCTTACTACAAAGTTTATAAGCCGATAACGCGCATTCTTGTTAAGTCCTTTGGGGGAGAGTAGGCCGCGTAAGAAACTACGACGGTGCTTTGTATGGCTTACGTTTAACTTACGAGCCTCGCAATAATTTAAAGTCATTCAGTGTGCCCATTACTGTCAGAGCTCGCTGAAAACTGAATATTAAGGCAGCGTAGAATTAGAAAACTAAAACCAAATCGGCCGTTTTGACTCACGTTTTCTACACTTCACAGAATCCGGTCATTTCACGTTGTTGTTTGGCAAATGTACCAAGATTTATGAACCACTTGTAACCTACACAACGGTAGATTGTCTGTGGTAGGAACATGTTCCCCAACATGGAAGCAAGCTGGCGCAGTTGTCAAAGAAACAACAAAACAAAATCATTCATTTTACATAAAAACGTACTTTACAGTAAACCTTCCATTGTAATGAAAGGCTCTCAATCTCTCTTGAACGCGCTCTAGTCTCCCTCCTTCCCTCCCTAGTTCTACCCCGCCCTCCCTCTTTTTCTTTCTGCCCCCCTCCCCCAAACGTTGTCAGTCTTTGTGCCTCTTATGTCACGCTTAGCGTTGTTTAAATAACTGTGAATAATTTTGAACGAGCGATATACCTTCAATGATGTGGTTTGTAACGATGAGAACCCTTAAGAGATTTGAAATCTGTCATCTGAATAAAATCTATGAATGTTTACAGAGCAAAGTTTTGAAAACCTTTATATTCTGTTTTATACTAGTGCAGAATCGTATGTCATCCGTTTAATAGGTGATATTTTAACATGTGAAAATCATATCATGGTAAAATTAGTGCTTTTATTAACTTTGTCAGACGTAATTTTTGAAATCGCACCGGTCAAAAACGGACGCCGAGAACACTACCTGAACTGAAACTAAATAAAATTGGATTCCACGCAGGATGTCACACCGATCATCGAAGGCCTGCCGAGAAGACTACCTGTTTTAAAATGGAATAAAATTGGATTCAACCTAGGACATCTATATAAGAAAGCCCAATCGTCAAAACACCCTAACTAGTGCTTCCAATTTTAAAAGCCAAACCTTTGTCTCAGTAATTTGGACAATGTGTTAATACTAGCTGTTTGGCTGTGGAAGAAATGTTTTTTATATCGATCAAGAGTTTAATTAAAAATTGCACTATCACAACAAATTACTCTATGTAAAATTAGATTTTCGCTTGCTTATGTTAAATTTCCTTGAGGGACACCTTGCTTGCTATTGTCTATGAAGTTTCATTTTCATTATCATAGGGTAAAAATGGATTTTCAATTAGAACAATACAATATTTCTAGTAGCGAAAGAGAGAATACTGTGGGATGTCTAAACTATTTAATTATTTATGAAAACTTTTTTCATACACAAAATATTTTTTATTTTAATTTCAAAAGGAGAACCAGCTGCAGTAACAGATATTAGTGAATATTCTATTGAGAGTTGAATAAGGCCAAAGATGTCTTTTCTTCGATTGATCGCAATTGCCAACATTTTTTGGTACAATGTACAAAACCACGCCATATCTGGAATGAACAAAAATGGCCATACTTGGTTCTCGATAGGCACAAATGAAGCTTTCTCGCATTTTATCCAACATAAGAACCATGTCCTTGAGGTGGAGAAAATAAGTTCTTTTCTGGTTGGCTTCGTAACGGAGTGCGCTTTGAGGTGTACAACTCATGTTTTGTGTTTGTCATTTAACAT